GTCAAAGTTTATGCTTTTAAATTAAATTTCATTGGCAGCACCGGCCTCGATGGCAGATCCTGCGTGATGAGGGCACTCTGCGAGGCAGGCCAGCGAGATCCTGTCCAGATAGGCAGGGGATCCTTCGTCCAGGAGCTCCTTCACGCAATTTTTACGTAAGTACACTGAAAAAAAAGATTAGCTGCTGCAACAAATTAGATGGTAAAATATGGCCTAGCATTTTTAATTGTCTGCAATAGCTAATTTTTTATTGCAGCAGCTAATTTTTGGTTGCTTTAGCCTATCTGCAATGTTAGTATAAGATTTCGATAAGCTAACTCAACCAAAAGTTGTTGCAACCAATTAAAAATGCTATGCCATATTTAGCCAATCTTTTCTTTCAGTGTATAAGACCCGGTTTCCTTTAAGAGCATTGAATCTCTTTCAAAAGCTTCCGATATACATACATCCCTCACGAATTTTAACTTTAGTTAGCTGCTGTTTCAATTAATTAAGAAATGAATAGAGTTCGATTGATCGAGTAATAAGACTTCGAAATTAGGAGAATTAATTTTAGCTGTACGTAATATACAAAAGATCAGCAAAAAAAAGCCAATCAAAACATTTTCTTGTAAATACGTCCTAAAATCAACTGTAAAAAACGAAATAAAATTAGTTCGTTTTTAGGGGAATCCTAAAGTCATCTATATTACCGACCAAACCATATAATTTGTGTGTGTGTGTGTGTATAACAATTACTTTTTTCCTTTCTTACTGATTTGAAAATTCTTTTCCAGAAGTAAAGTATACGCATCAATATGTGTCTGTAAAGTGAAGCCTATGCTAAAAACAACAAAAAATTGCGAAATTAAAATCTTTACTATTTCTTAGTCTAATGGTGCTTCAAAGCTATCATGTTGTGAAAACATTTGCTTCATATAAAAATCTGCATTTACGAAATAGTAGTCCACAAATTAGTAGTTTGAAGAAATAATGTGGAATTCTTAAAATTGGACTTAGGCCCAGTTCCACAACTCACGGTTAACTCTTAACCGAAGTTCAATTTGTTTCTCATCTCTTTCCAATTCGAGAATTGGAAAGAGACAATGGATAAGTTGAACCTCGGTTAAGAGTTAACCGTGAGTTGTGGAACTAGGCCTTAGATGTCTAATTAAAATGTAACTGTTATACAAAAATTTATGTGTGTATGGCGTGCGTGAGTGAGATATTAATGTAGTGATGTGTCAATGACATTTAAATCGTTTATATGTGTAAGTGCTATTTTCAATATGACTAATCGTCTTTAAGATCCCTTTAATGGTTTATGCAGCACAGTTGTCATATTTTGCTGCAGTTTTAGGTAAATATATAACGCTTATGGAGTAAGTAAATCCAAATTAACTTTTGTATGACAACCAAGGCAAACAGAAAAATTAAATAACTTTTAAACCGATAAGAGAATTGTGTTTAAATGACACAGATACTCAGACGTAGTAATAGAACAATCTATGAAATTTTGATACTTTTAGTAATATTTTAAGTGTGACACATACATCTTTAAATCGAATTCCAACCGTTATTCTACGACGTGCGATTCTGTTCACAGATTGCCAAAGGATGGTGCCAAATTCGAGCGGGCGGCGGACCACGCTTACGATCGCGCATACGAAACGGGCGGAGACTGCGAACGGCTGTACCCCACGTGTCAGCACTCCATTTATGACGTGGACTTTTGAAGTTGCGGCAGAAGCTGCGACAGACCTCTCACCGCGTCGTTCGAAAAACCGCGTCGTCCCACAAAACTACAGAGTGTAAATCTGATGGGAAACTTGCGGCGAAGTTTCTCTGGCAGCCGTCCTATTCCGCGGTGATTTTTCTGCCTGATGTTACGGTATGGCTTCGCGCGTCGTTTCGCAACGCATTGGACTGACGACTGATAAAACGGTCGACCTGTTGTATTGTTGGTTTATCGTTATTACAAACGTTTCAAACACGCCTATCAAATGCGACTTTGTCGTTCTTTATTGAAAGAGAAGAGACACTACACGAGAGATAAGTTCGCGCAATGTGTCAAAATTTGAGTTTGTATGTTTGCCAAGAAAGATTATTTATTTTTAAAATGTAATTAGCTAATATATTAATAATATTATTTTATTCATTTATTACATACATTTATCACTGGATTAATATTTATAAGTAACATATGACAATAATAATAATAATTTTATTACGTACATACAAAATTGGTTTATGATAGGTAAAAAATCACACAATATATATTCATAAAGTATAACATGAAATATATAGTCAATATTTCATCGATTTTCTTTACATTGCACATTCTAGTGACATCTTCATATCATTAGAATATTGCATTTGATTAATCGAGTTTGCAAGTATGTCATGTATTTACATAATTTTTGATAACAATTTTTTGCCAGCCACTATACATATCGAAGGGCTATATATTGGGGGCAATAAACGATTATTTAACATCAACGACGAATCCGAGATTAAATTCAGAAAGTTTGGCGCGAGGCTCTCGACCCATGAATATTCTATATCGGTCATTACATTACTTCCGCAACGTGTAATTCATTTCGGCGCGGTTTCGAATAATTTCACGACGTTTTGCATTAATAAAATGGTCACCGGGCTCTCGTCGATTTATGGTTCATTTCTGTAGAGTGCTCCGACGGAGCGTCCGACACGGTTGATTCCCTCCCACTTCTTTTTTTTTTTCCTTTTCATTGGAAATAAAATATGCCAAATATACTTTCGTAGTGTAACGAACGTCTAATCGATATGCATTCAGTGAACATTTTGCATTTCCTCGTGCGAGCAGCTCCTAGTTTCCCATTCGTCGGTGTTTGTTGCGCACGAACGCGACGAACTAGTCGCAACTATAAGCACATAATTGTATTTACTTGATGAAATTCTGTCGCGTAACTGCAAGCTTGTTTATTAACAATGTTTAACAAGGTAACCCGGCGGCCACTTGACGTAATACTTTAATCAACAACCAGAAAATCCTAAGATAATGACTCGGTGTCTGTCATAACACGTGGTAGTACCGCATAAAAGTTATTGTCGTCATCATGAAAATTGTAAAGCGGGTATTCTCGAGTATGAAATTTTTTACTGTAACTTGACTACAGCAGATAGTATTTCCAACATTATATTACATTTGCGCGTGTATCCTACTTTTGTTGCATTGCGCTCGATATAATTTCACGATGTACATTATAATATATTCGGCCTAAATTAGATTGCTGGTATGCATCTGATTCGATAATATGCCACGTGCTCAGTTTAGTACTGCAGTTATTTTAACCGGAAATTTATCCAGAAGATAATTTAATTATTACAGTAACGTTTGCTGTGGGCTCTAAAAACGTATGAGGATAGTTAATAATGTCTACATAGTTAATATTATGTACATATTATTTGTGGAATGTTGGATATTTATTATGCGAATAAATTGAAGAAAACTTGCAGTACTTTATCAGCCTTGTGCAATAAATTAAAATATGTTTAGAAAATATACATTGTATTTTATCGACAATAATTCGAATCAGGTTAATACTTAACCAGTTCATAATTTACTTTAATGTAATCGATAACCAATTAAAATGCTAATTTGATAATTATTCTTGTAATTTGTTTAATACAATCAATATTATCGTACATTGTACAGGTAATAATTTCAAGCAGTTGTGATCTATTAAGTATGAAAGAGATAGTCTTGCACGACTTGAAAAAATACAATAAAAAGGAAAAATACGGTTAAAGTGAAATAAACATAATGGAACAGAAGCAAACAAATATAACAGAACATTGCAAATAAATATAACGCAATGCATTTGTATTCTATTATATTTATTTGCAATGTTCTGTTATATTTGTTTACTTCTATTATTTATTTATTTCATTTTAATCGTTTTTTTTTCCAGTCAAGATATATTATATAGTCAAGATATATTCTCGATTTTATTATCCAGTTTAAATTAATTTACGAAACAATGCTTTTATACGAAGTATTTTAAGTTTGCTAAACTAATTACATTACGTATATTGTACAAAAATTCAGGCAATTATGATTTAAATATCAAATATAATTAATAAACTAAGTATTAAAGCTCGATTGAGATAAATCAATACAATCAAATAATGCCTTTTCGAGTCAACATAGGATGACAATGTGAAAATTGGTTTATTTAAATTAACATAATTATAATCGCAGACGTTTCGATCCTGTTTCAAATCCTTATCAATGCTCCATGTAAATTGTTAACAAAATTCAATCATCTAAGAATAGTAATGTAACAGTGATGTTATCCGATCATCGTATTTCCTGGTATAATGATCATCGAAACGTTATTAAGCTGTTTATGCGTCGGATGTCGAATCTCATCTGAAATGACTGAATTTTGTTAACAATTTACATAGAGCATTGAGAAGGATCCGAAACAGAATCGAAACGTCTGCGATTATAATTATGTTAATTTAAATAAACCAATTTTCACATTGTCATCCTGTGCTGGCTTGAATAGGCATTATTTGATTGTATTAAATATCAAATAGACTTGATAGACTAAAATAAATGCAAAAAAGAAAAGAAAACGGTTGATAAAAATGCAAATATAAACGTAATAGGATGCATTTGCGTATTACATGAAAAATATTTGGAGTATTAACAAAGTATGTATTTTTAAGTCCAAATGTTCTTAATTGTATCATTTAATTCCTCAATTTAAAGGATAACGTTTTTATGCGAAATATTCTAAGTTTTTTCTTAAACTTCTCTATTTTTCTCAGAGGAATAAAGAACAGAGTAAAATTATTCTCCACTTACTCATCGTTAGAACAATAATAAAGTACCGTTGCTTTTCGACACAGACAAATACAGTTCGTTAGCGTTTGTTCTCGAGAGCAAGTAACGGTTACATATTCAAGCCCATTCTATCGTTAGAACTAGCATTTTAACTCCGCTTTATGGAACAGGAAATTTTCGTACCGCGATGCTGATTAATCGTCTCCGTCATTTTATTTTGCTCGGCATTTTTGTGCGTTGCTTTGAAGAATCGACAGTGTCGTCGATGACGTTCTCGAACGACTCGCTAGTAAGGTCTGGGAGAGACGTCGGAACTAAGTATCTGATATTTCCTCAAGGCAGCAACGTTCAAGTAAGATAACTTTTATTCTACACAACGACAGATGTATTTCAATAAGGAAACACTCAGCTCTCTCGCAGAAACGGCAATTATTATTCTTTTCGTGTCAAGTTTCCGTTTGCGATGCATAAACTTTGAAAATGTAGAGGAATGTAAACGCACCTGTTACACTCGTTTTCAAGACCGAGGGTCTATTATTAAAATGAAATTATAATCTTCGTGCTCTCTCGTGTTTTTGTGCGAAACGCACCAGACAGGTCGATATGAGCTTGTGGAAGTTTTGCTTGCGCGAAGTTGTATATTATAGCGCAACATAAACTCTCGATACAGTTTAGCTTATGAAGTTTCATATGCTAAATGAAACGGAACTCCCTTTATGCGTAATGTTTGAAAAGACTCTAATAAGCGAAGCAACATGGATATATATAATTAGAATATAATTAGTTTATAATTAATATGTAAAGTATATGTTGCCGCCGAATTAAAACACGCGCACTCCGAATTGCAAATATTAAAATAATTTGTAATTTGAGTGAGGACAAATAATTAATATATTTTACAAAAGTATATTAATTAATCAATAATTAATAATCGAGAGAGAGAGAGAGAGAGAGAGAGAGAGAGAGCAAGAGAGAGTTAAAATAAAATATTATTTATTATTTGCGATTTAAGAAAATTTAATTTAGCATTATTCTACTTGTCCACTATTATTACGCAGCTCGTCTTCTGTCTAACCATAAGCACGTATGCAAAGCCCCAAGGAATGTTTACCGTTGGTACTACCGCCGGGCTTGCGTGGGAACTACCCTACAGAAATACTATGCTGTACGGGAAGCCAGCTGAGGTTTATCATCGTCGGAGCAGAAGAGAGCTGTACCATAAAGTGGAGCTAATGCTAAGAACGTGAGTAAGAAAGGCGGACAAAGACAAGGAAGCCAGAGAGAGGGGCCGCGTTTCCTCTTCTCATTTCGTATAAATTACTGACAACTGCGCGATCTGTATACCAAAAAAATCTTGTAAATTATTTTAATAATGTGGAAATGATGTAGAAACTTATCTTCGGACATAACGAAGAAAAATATGAATTTCTATTGTAACGATTACGACATACTTCGTCATTCGGTAGAAAAATTGAATATTTCATCATTTTATTTCGCCTCTGAGTCTATTTCATTCTCCTCTACTGATCAGATTTATCCTCTTCCTCGAGTGGAAGGTCCTGATGGAAAAATGGTAATTCTATCGAATGCGAATGAAGGGTGAGACTTATCGTGAGATTTTTGTTTCAACGACTTGTCGGGCAAGTTCGCTGCTTCTCGAATCACGAAGAAAAATAGACGCAAGCCATTATTGGAAAGCTGCCTTCTCATCTTCGTCGCGGAAAATGCTTCTGTTTCCCAAAGCGAAACGTTTCTCGTTTAGAGACGGATTCGATTCGGAGGAAAAATAATAACGTGTCGGAAATTTAAAATGGGTAGTCATCCGGTAACCCCATCAACGGTAATCGACGTTTCTTCGCGCGAATTTAAAAATGGACCCTCGTAAAGCTCCGCGTGCGTGACTGTAATAAACGTTACACTTGGATAACCCAAATAATTTCTATGAGACACGTGGGACGAATGTATTTCACGGCCGATGAAGCGACAGGGAAACGCTCTTAAACGGTGGTTCGAGCGGCGAGCGGATTAAACGGTGTGCTTTCATCGCTCGAGGCCGGAAAATGGTCCCGAAGAAACGACGATGATTCAGGTATAACCGACGACGCATAATACCGTAAAACCACCCTTGCTCGGTCACCCTAGTGTTTCCAGTGTTTCACCGGACATTGTTCGAGTGCTTACAGGCACATTAAGCGTGCGGATTAAGAGGCTTCTCGCAATGATCGCAACATTTCGTGCTGTTTCGAGGACGGCCATTCTACGTGGTGGAAATGAGATCGAAAGCGGCCGGGAATCACGCAATGAGCGGTCGACAAGGGGATTCCTTTGCTCTTTTAATGCAGAATTACTCTCGACATGTAAAAAAAATTAATTGAGTTGTTCTTGTACAGCGATGAGACGAAATTACAATTGTGAATGATCGATTAATCATCGAATCGAAAAAGAACAATCGCCGATACGTACTTTTATTGAACGCTTAATAGAAACAATTTATTCCTCTCCGGAAACCCGGGAGTTGTTAGGAGCAATTATATTATGTCGCGATTGAACTGATTGATAATTCCATTCAAATTGATAACATGTATTTTGATGTAATTTCTGACTTAATCAGATTTTCGACGTTGCAAGCGTTTTACCGATACTGCGCTTCGCCGCGTATCAAATAAATTCAATTGTTACGGTAACCGTGACTAATATTATGATATATGATATATGAGTGTAAACATTGAAATTTGTCTGAAATCAGCCGAAACGTTCTCGCGATCTGAATCATTCTAATAATTCGAGAGGAGAAATAAGGGAAAATCGCTTTTCCGTCTCGTTGACTCAATCAATGGTAAGCCTTACGTTACATAAAAATCGATCGATCGTATTCAATTATTTTTCTCATATTTGACTGTGATTGGTCAGTTTCTTACGGCTTAAGGTTTACTATTCTTAAGCTGGTATTCATAAATCCCGAAACGCAATAGGTATAGTAAGCTTTAAAAAAGTCTCAAGAAATTGATCAATCCAATTGTACGTGAAAAGGATAATCAACTATAATTGGTTAATTTCTTAAAGCTTAAAGACTTGTGTGTGCTATACCTATTACGTTTCGGAATAAATTATTCTTATTTCAAGACTGTCTTAAGTAATGTCTTAATGCGACTGTGATTGGTTTATGACACCTTAAGACTGTTCTTGGTATTAAGTACAATATAAGAATCAACTATGAATACCAGCCGTAGACACTGCGTTAGAAATTCTTAAGTAAAATATATATTGGCAACCGCCCATACAACACAGAATTTGCAGAAACATTTGTAATATTTGCAACGTTTGCAATGTTACTGCAATATTGCTGGAACGTTACAATGTTGCTGCAATATTGTTGGAATGATCTGTGCTATATGGATGTTTACACAACGTTTGATTGGTCCATTTAGCCCGTCATTCAGGATGTTTAGGATATAATGAGATTTATGAGATAGTTATAGAATAAGATTAGATAAAACAAACCGCTTAGATATCTATTTCATTCTATCTTAAGCGTTGGCCCACCATATTCAGGGCATTTCAGTGTCCAATCTCTTACTTGAGGTTCTCTAATGATCTTTATTTCGTGGCGCCGTCGAACGCGTCGGTATTTTAGTGGGAAGATATGAGTCATGGTTGTTTGATGCTCAATTGCGTCTAAAAAAAAATACGCAGGATTACTCGGAGAATGACGCGTATACGTGCCATTACGACGCTTTATTTCTCGTCACGCTGGATAGCCAAGCTCATCGTTGGAATCGCGCGGTTCTATATATGCCCGAGACATCTTCGTCGAGTAATCCACGAAAGTAAAGAGGGTCGTTATTCATTTTGATTATGTGGTATTATCGCTTCATCCGTCATCCGGTCGAAGCGAAGATCGACCCTAACAAAACATGTGCAAATACAAAAGTTGCAAGAAGAGTCTTCCCTCTTATTTTTTACCTCCACCGTCAATCCGTTTATCTTTCTGTTCAGAACTCTATAAAAATCGTCGAATATAACAAATTCTAAATCTGATGTCAATATATCGTTACATCAATATTATTATGATCCAGCCAACCAAAACTCGCAGCGAGATCCAGTTTGACGAATTTCGGTAATTCGGATATTAAGGAATCTATCTAGAGAATTTGTCCCATCAAATTTGAGGCATAAAACAGCACCCCTAGTTCATCGATCACGTACGGTGAAATTCCCTTCTCGACATAAATCAAACCGTTTTGCTTAACTGGACCGAGGATCGTCGGATAGACACGTACCCTACGTTCGCCACAGTGGCAACCCTCAATTGAGATATATTTTCCCGCCAACTGCAGACGCGCGTTATACACACCAGTAAAGTTTCAGTTAAGAGTCGAATTGTGGGGGTTAATCCGGGGATGACAAAAGCGGCGGTTACTCTAATTTAAATTGCACAGAGCTGTAGCGTAATTGCCGGTATTTGCTCACCATGGGGGAGGGTATAAGGGACCCTCTATAAGGGGACTACGATGCTTGGTTGTTTAGCAGATGTGCGGCGAGGAGCGAGGAGGAACTCATTGTAAACCACCCTCGGATTCACAGTGCCGCTCGATTTCGTGGTTGGTAATATCAACACGCGGTCCCCTCCCCTTTAACCTCCGGTATTATCGCGGACTTAATGAATGAACCGTTGGCTCTTGGCGAGCTCGACAACGATAACGAGGATGATAATGATAAACGATCTCTGTTCCTGCTGCTCCGAATCTTTGTCATCCCATCATATCTCATCTTCTGTTCTTCGTGAAGCCAGGGGAAGGACGGTAAGGCCTGCGTTCTCAAAGCAATCTGCAAGGCTGCTGGGCGTAGGCGCGAAGACGTCGGGAAGAGAAGCTTCCTCGAGGAAACCCTACACGTTATATTCACGTAAGTCACGAATTAAATTAACCCTCTAATAATAAGGTTTTTTATAAAGGATGTATGTAATAAACTGAGGTCGGGTCTAACTCAATGCTCTGTTTTGCTCATTTTTCATCTAATAAAAAATGGAAAAATAATAATATGAACATAATATATTATATAATAAGAATAAATAATGATACTTCTTCCTCTATTTATTTGTAGATAAAAAAATACACATAAGTGAAGAAGGTCAAATTCGATCAAAGCGAATATTAATGCCCTAATAATACTTTTGAATGAATCCTATAATTTCCAGTAAAAAATGTATTGTAATAAAGTTTAACTTTTACACACACACTGACTTTAAATAATTGTGATAAAACAAAAAATGCTTTAACTGACGAAACTATAGGATCACATTTGACCCAGACCAATTACTATTAAAGGGTTAAATTAGATTTTGATGTCATATCTTCTTTATTTTTCACTTTACTGTATCATTAAGACTGATTGAAAAAGACGTATACGGTAGCTATTAAGTAAAATAACAAATTGATGATTGCAGCCTGCCTGGAGGACAGTATGACATCGATCCGATGACCGAGTACGAGCGAGCGTATCACTTGGGCGAGAATTGCGACGAGATGCACGCCAAGTGTCCAGGTGTCTTTTGAATTGCTGCAATCAAGCGTGATCGTCTTACGCGGGCACGAAACGAGCAGTCATCACGAAGAACTCACTTTACTTTTCCCATCCCTTCAAATTACTGGAGCGCCTGAATTGCACACTCACAAACAGGTTACGATTTATACAAGCAAATTACAATAAATATTAAAGTGCTGTTTTATCTCAAGCAGCATAAAAAGATTTGCAAAAATAATTAAAATTACAGCAAGCTACTGATGAAAAACAATTTTTTGCAATTCCAATTTATTTAAATATAAAAATGTATAAATAGTTAATAGAATTTTCTTGTAACTACCATAATTATGAAATTAAAACGTTAATTTTAATTTTATTTAATTATGTGAGAAATTATCAATAACAAATATATTGAAAAATAATGAAATCGCAAAAAGATAAATTTAACGCATAAGGCAATAATTTGAATTTGTATAAACGATGATTTATTATTATTTCAAAATGCATTTCAAAAACATCCGTCATAAATTTCATTCGTCATGAATTAATCTATTTATATCATACATTAATCTATTGGGCCTGTCTCTCTCTTTCTGCACAGTTTGCAAAATCACAAGCCGTGACCTCCTAGAATTGAAGCGTTCTGAGTAGCTGCCGCGCGGTCTTTTTAGTTGAGAAGAAAGGAGGCAAAATATCGCGGTGTAAAAGCAAATAATATAGTAACCGTAGCTACGTGATGAGATCGACAACTATGTCGACAACAATGACGTCAGCAATTCAAATTATGCAGTCGACGTTATTCTTGGAATTTCCTCGTGACTACCAAATTGCTCGAATTACAACAGAACTTTCAACGCAAAGAGGAAAGAGAGAGAAAGAGGGACAAAGAAAGGAGAGAGAGGGGGAGGGAGAGAGAGAGAGAGAGAGAGGAGAGAGAGAGGAGACTCTTCAAAATATAAATTACTATATACTTTACAAAAATTATTCACTTGTTAACAAATATTTTCAAATATAATAACAATGTAATTGTAACATTATTTTTCCCGGAAGGCTATTATATAGTTTTTGCAAATACAACAAATAAGGAAATGTGTTCATCCTCAATTAATTTGAAACAGATATTTACTTCAGAATTTTATAACGAACTGTTTGGTGCTAATTATTTTCTCGAAGCCATTATCTTTGAAACAACGAATGTTAATTACAAATATTTTGTATAATCTTACGAAAAGCTACTATCAACGTACGTGAAGTTTCGGATAGATTCCACCGCAATGATACAACGCGACGTCAGTGCCAACATTCCGGCTGGGAGGCTTCAACTTCGGGGGATTACGATTTCGCGAATTGACGACAACTCGCGCTAATGACACACGATGTAAACCGCAGCTGACGTTCTCAGGAGGGGAATTGCATTACAGCTTACCATCACCGTACGTGCAAACACGATGTAATGCAATCGTCGTAACGTCGCATACGGTGAGGCAACACTCGACGGCATCACGGATGTCTCGGTGCTGCGGAAGTGCACGCCGCTTCACTGTGAGAGAAGCGTCCGTGTATATTATTCCGCGAATATGCGATCTATTATTGTAAGCTGAACAGACAAGGCCGCGTCTACTGGTTTCCTTAATGACGAATCAGACTGTTTACCCGAAATGGACTTCGGAACAGCGTTAAAAGTCGCGTACTCGAGGAAATAGACCGTAAGCAGGATAAATGCGTTGTTGCAACGCGAATCCAAGAGATGTTCCAGGCGTTTAGAGCACCGGGGACCACGAAAGTCTGACGCGAGAGTCATAAATCTATTACTTCCCTTATTACGATGGCAATTCTCTTCGCGTTACGTAGCAGTGGCGATTAAACAGAAATCCTGAGAAAGATCGCTCGATTTTAAGTGCCGGATAAATCACGCGGTTCCCCGTAAGGCCGCGCAGAGTGGCCGGATGGAACCGGCAGCGCGTCGTTGGACGAGAGAAAAAAAAAGGAAAAAGAACTGAAGCGGATAAGATCGAGGAGACCCGAAAGCCCAAAATGAAATTACCTTGCAGATGGAAGCTGCGAAGATGGTCAGAGCACACTCGGATCTCTGGAATTGGATAAAACAGGCAGCCCGTTCCTGAATATATTTCGCCAGATTTACGAAATTTAAAGGCTCTCTCGCTAGTGAATTGGTAGCTGCGGTAAGGACGATAGGAGGGAGAAAGGGAGGGAAAACGGAGACTCGATGAACCTCTCATAAAGAACACCCGAGCTTTCCGTGAAATTTTTCAAGATTAGCATGGAAAAGCCGGGGGACTCCGCAACGAGAGACAGCTTGTCAGATTTTAATGGCCTACGAGAAATCCGGAGAATTAATGAGCTCTCTCTCTCTCCCTCTCCCCCCTCTCTCCTTCTCTCTCCCTCTCCCTCTCTCCTTCTCCCTTTTCCTCTCCCCCTCCCTCTCTCTCCCCTCCCCCCCCCCCCCCCCCCCCCCCCCCTCTCACCCCCTCTCCGACGACCTCCATGAATGTGAAAACGACCGGGATAACGTACCGATTTGGTCGTTAAATAATTTTATTTGCGAAGAAACTTGCGCAATTATAACGAGACACGGTCGCAAATTACGCCATCTTGGGGTTTATTGAAACACTCCGAAATGCTTTACATTTGACACAAATCGGCGCAAGTCGACACAAGCGTCGTTCTATCCTTCTTGACATTTGGAGAATCACAAAGATAGAACGACACTTGTGTCGATTTATGTCATCAAATGGAAAGCACCCTCCGTTACACGTTTTTCAATATATTTTTTGTCATTTCTGTATTATATTTGTATTTTTCTGTATCTTAATTACTTAAAATATTCTCTTTTATACTGAAATATATTTTATAAGTACTTTGTATATACACACGACGGAATATTAAAATACGACGAGGACTGAAATTTATTCTGCGCATTGCCACCGGAAAGATATCTTACCGCGACATAAAATATGTCAGAGCAAAACGTATATATGTAGTACACGTATGAGATACGGACACACATACCTTATCATAACAGTATAAGCAGTTCTGCACGTTAGCTTGCGTATACGGCTAAAAAATTACGAAAAATTTAACTCTCGTTTATAATGTATACGTGACTTATGTATTAGGTTACAATTTTACGTCCGGGGAATAGATAACGCACCTCATTTGCGGTCGATTTTCGCATGCATGTAGAGTATACGTAAAAGTAATAGATATAACAAAGAGATGACTCGATTACAGAACTGCAATTAATGGCGTTTAATATGTCTACTTTGTGAATCTCATATCTTATTATCATGTACGGTAGAATTTTTATATAATGATAAAATAATGTGTAATACGATTAAATAAAATTACATATCTTTATAAGTAATATAATTAAAACATTTTTTTACTTTTTTTACATTATTACGTATATCATATAAAATTTTATATTCGATAAGATTCGTTTTTACATAGTAATTTTGAAACATTTGATATCAACTAAAGGTAACATAACATCTATGTTATAATTTCGCATTTAATAATATAATTGTTATGTACCACCACACACTGTTAGCTATCAAAAGAACAACGGTAAATCAATCTTTTGAATTAAATAACATTTTGTTATTTTTATAATTATCAAAATGTAAATCGATCCATTTCTGTGGTTAATTTTAAAGTAAAAAACATCCATATTAACGTACGCACTTAATAAATAATAAACTAAATTTAAAACAAATTTTTAATATGTTTTTTCAAATTAAATTGTTTAACTCCATTGTTTTAGTTAAATTAATATATTGGAGTAATGGTGACCTGAAAAATTATTTAAAATAACTCAAATTGTATATAATTTGACGTGAATTAAATAGCACGTATTATGTTACATTTGTATTTACATTTGTTGAATGCGAAATTATAACGTAAATATTATGTTATACTTTTAATTGATGTTAACTGGACTGTGGCAAAACCGATCTCTAATACCCATCAGATTGCTCTTGAAAAAATTGAGATAACTACCACGGCAATCACGGATGACCACCATGTTGTCAACGTGTTAAATTTTGACTCAAATTTTCGTCCTGCGACGAAAATCGTCTCTTGCCAAAGCCAATGTGCCAATTCACAGCGCAAACACAGGATCGGTAGCTGAACGACGCTGTCACGCCGTCAACGCCGTGGCGAGTCGCTTCTCGTGTGTGCACAAGTGCAATATTTCGATGTAACCGCGAAGGATGTTCCCGGGTTTTCTGAAAATGGTCTCTATCCCGTGACCTCCCGGGAGGGCTGGCCCGAGGTGGCGCAGAGCGAAAGGAGAAAGGGCGATTTTGCCCGGATAATTCCGAGAAATGAGAGCCCCGTGGCTCGTCCTGATTCTCACCGTGATCCTGGACCCGTTGTTGCTCCTGGGGGAGGCGGTATGTCACCGTAATGACACCAACTTAAGTGCCGCTGGCCAAAGGTCAGGAGAGACTCTGTCCAGACGGAGACGGGAGCTCACTTTTCCAAAGGGAAGCGCTTTCGTGGTGAGTTAGATGGTTGGATATTCACAACGGGCGGTAAGGGGTCATCTTTTGTTACGCTAGACTTTTATGAGGGTGTCATCGCTTGCCCTGAGGAGGTCGAGATCGGTTAAATCAGTTAGACGGATGAGGCTCCTCATTTTACCGCGATAACTGTGCTTTTATGAGAAGTTATCCCGAAGGTGGACATGTTCTATTAAAATCGCATTTATTCGTATAAAAAGTGAAATACGCGTTTCTTTTGCTCATTGATGATTATGCTTTATTCATTGAAATTATTTATTAGCGAATATAAAGAAGTATACATATATCTCCTGTTATAACCCAACAATAAATGAAACTATTACTAATGTATATAATTACTAATGTAAGAAATGGGTTACGCCGTGTCTGATGCGCCACTTGCGTTACACGTTACCTCTCTGACTTACACACTTACACTTTCCATTGCCTTCTTGTTGCACCTTAACATTAGATGTTTATTTATAAAATATGACGCGTGGAGCGGCTGTAATTTGTTAATGACGAGAAGAACGAGATCGTTGTGTTGACTGATCATTTTCTTTATTGTATAAAATCAATTAAAGAATCTAAGATACATTCAATAAACCTTTTGACCATTGAAATAATACGCTTAATAAATCTAATAAGAGAAACAAATCATCGCCCACCAATCGAAGAACTTCAAAAACGCTCGCGATCCAAGGCTTTTTCACTAATATATTTAAGAAAAAGAAAGTTTTTGTCTCTTCATAAATATTTTCTAATATAATTCTTTTCCATTTAAATTCGATTAAGGATGTATTAGTAGAGATTCGATTAAGGATGTATTATTCATATTAAATTGTAAATATTAATATATATGAAATTGCTTGTTTAGATGACTCTTGTTCTTCTAAAGGCTATTCAACTTAATGAGCCTAAAAACTGGAACTTAGACCTAGAATTCGATGTAATATGGCCTATACCTAGCCAGGAAGATTTGAAGAAGGTTACTATCAAAAGACCGTCTAAACTAAAACGGCGACATAGGCGCGAACTCTATGCTAATTTGGAATTAGCGTTGGACAGGTAAAAAAGAAATTATTTTTGTTTTATTTAAATCATGTTTCACGACTAAACTGAGATTTTTTAAAAATTTGTGAACATGGTCAAACATAAAATTAAAATACAATTTTAAATGTTTAATGAATTGTAAGAATAATATTTTTTTGTTAAATTATTTCGTAAGTTTGAAATTAAAGCAGACATTACGTATATATACATATTTACAATATTTAAGACAAGGAAAAAAGAGAGAGATATTTACTACAATCATTTGATAAATATATTATAATATTGATTTTATAATTAAATTTTATTGGACATGCATTAAATATTACAAACATGTTTTTATATCGTAAATGTATAATATCCAAAGCATCCTAGAAATTTTATGTTAACTTTTGTATGAAGATTAACATCGATTGTTATCCATTTTAGTCAAAATTTACCAGGACGATTATGCATTCTGCGCACAATTTGCGAAGCGAAAACGGTACTAAGTCCCCCAGGATTTTCAATTATCGAAGATGCTATACGAATTATTTTAAGGTAAGTTATATTCTCAGCATATCTTAAGATAAATCGATATTTACGAATTTGAGATTAGCACTTTACACAGTCTATCAAATGACTTTAAACTTTAAAATAAATTACAATGCATTGTAACAAAAAAATTTATTGTAGTGTCATATTGTTAAAATAATAAACCTTTAAGATTAGAAAATTAGAAATGTTGTATGTTTTAGAAATTTCGAAGATGCTGATAATTACGATTGCTACGATATTGCATATCGAACGAGTGATTGTGAGGTTGTTTATCCTTGTCCATTTTCACTCTTGAAATTATTGTTATATAATTTATATACAGGGGAAACGTGAGAGATAGCCAATTAAAAAGTCAAATTGATAATAAAACTGTGTATAAATTGTGTAACGTAATCCATTAAATTTCATATTTAATTAGCGTAGTTTTTTGTTGTAGGCGAAAAATCTGTGATATTCCCGATATTACTGCGCGAATAAATACCTAAAAATGTATGCATCAAAAGTCATCGATAAAACACAATGAAATAAAGTAAATCTAGAAAAAAACGAGTAATTCAATCCATGTACATTCCCATGTAATTTTTATTTGATATTTCTTAAAATTATTATTGGCAAAAATAGTTATCAAATTAAATAGTTATCGCTAGAAATTAATTCCTAAAATGCGTAAATTCCTAGATATTTTCTTTTTTGTGATGTAATAAACCGCAATTCTGATCAAGCGAACATTTCAATTGAAAATTTCAAATTATATTACACATAAAGTACATTTATCATTAAACTAGTGTAATTAAGCGAACAACGTTTATTATTAGTTCACTAATACAAGTAAAATAATGGAATTGGTTTCATATTTGAAATTATTTTCCCGATATGCTTTTATTGATGGCCTTATTATTTCGAATGCATATTGCCACTGGCAGTCGAGTTTATAACTTTCTTTCCTCCATAGATAAATAAGTTTCTATTTCAGTACTCGTAATTAATTAATCTAATAGTTCCATGTGTTTCTGTGACAAAATTAATGAATCCAAATTGCATCTAAAACAAATCTGACAGCGTGAACTTGTGAAACATAAATAATGAAAATAAACTCTATCCAAGTTTCTACATTTTTTAAGCAATGTAATGTTTTATTAAGACATGTATATGTATAATATGTTCATATATAATCCTTTTTAAATTAGTAACTTAAAATGATTTTTTAGAGACAAATTTTTAATTTTTTCTATTGCAAATTTAATTCTTTTTTTATAATTTAAAAGAATTTGTGATTTTTTTTTAAATTTTGATCTTTACTTTAATATTACTCCAAGCTGTAAATAATATCATTTTTATTCAACGATAAGAAGTTCCTTTTTTAAAAAACGTCAAGTTTTCGAAACACGCCTATGATTCACTGCATAAATGATGCCAGGAAATCAGTGAAAATGAAAGAATAGTAATCGGAAAAATCTTATCGCAGTAATGATAAACGTTCTCAAATTATAGACTGTGAAATACGAAAGTGAATGTATATACGTATACGGAGAAAGATACTCGACACCCTCACACATAGCTGATACAACCGGAAAAACGTTAATCGCACTAATAGTGGCGGCAATATTTTACGTTCACACCCAGCTACGTGTTTCGGCTCTTGAGCCGTTAATCGTTTGCTAAATAAAGCCAGAGGAACGGGAAGCCCATGCGCAGCTGGACGTTAATGAATTCGACAATGCTCCAAGCTCGCCTAACTGCAATAATAACGGTCGTTCCGGGCCGGACTGGACTGAACAGGGAGATCATTCACCGGGTAACTCTCGTGGACGAGCACCGTAGAAGATCAAAATAAGCGAGCAGGTAAGCCCGAGGATATCCGCTTAATTCGACGACCGGTCGGTCGGTCGGTCGATATGAAATAAAACAGCTCGTTTCCATTCCATTTTCGTTTGTGTCCGCGGATGCGGAGATTCCGAATATTGACCGGAATAATTGGCTGCGAACGTATCTGTCGAATTCGCGTATGATCGAATAGGGCTTGCGGGAGTCTCGTGAATTTACATACTGATATTTAACATACGGGGATTATTTTTGTACGCGATGTTTTTTCAAATCGTGATCGCTATTTGCAAAAGGCATCGATTCTCGGGAAAGCGTGAAAGAGAAATACAATGTATTCTGCAAATTATATTGTTATTAATTGTAATCGTCAATCATAATTGATTTAGATTAATTGGAATAATTTAATACTGCTATTAGCATTTAAAATTCCGATTTAATATGTAAAATCTGTCCTTTCATTTATCGTTTCATCGAGCCGATTCGATAAAAGCGGCTTGATATCGTTTTGCTTTAATGAATTTGCGGATGAAGTACGTCAGGCGTAACGAAAGAAGTGACGTTTCCAATATTCGATGTAGTCGCATGAGGGAACGGAGAAAGAGAGAGTAAATGACGATGAAAAAGAAAGTTTGCCAGACACATCGATAATACAAGGCAGCCCCAAGCCGATTACTCATGCTCTTGTCACGCGGAAAATCAAACGATATTTCTTACTTTTACGTAATTTTGCTAATACATTTCATTAACTTTCTATTGAAGGATTTTTTCAACAAGTTTAGTTTTGAATTTAACCGATTCGTAATTTAATTGATTAATTTAATAAGCTAATTAATTAATCTATTTACATTGCACATTCCGGCGATATTACTGGCAGATTGATATTTAATCGTCTTTAAAATCTCATGCTGTAATCTCAACAGCGGAAAATAGCGTATACATCTAAAAGAACATATATATAGTCGATCATAAAATGAATTATCAAGGCATATCTGCGCAAAATACATAATCAAAGTATTCGAAATACAAAATACAAAACACTTTCAATCTTTCGATTTTAAAATACAAAATTTAAAATACTTTCAAAATTCGTATTTCAAATACAAAATACTTTTTTCAATACAACATACAAAATGTTTCAAAAAATTTTTTTTAGTACAAAATACTTTTTTTAAGTATCTTAAATAGAAAAATACTTTTTTTAAGTATCTTAAATACGTCCAAAATTTGTATTTCAAATATAAAATATTTTTTTTTAATACAAAATACAAAGTATTTTCAAAATTTTATTTAAAATACAAAATATTTTTTAATACAATATACTTCAAAATTTTTTTGCGTTCCCGGCACTTTTCCCATTAGGCACGACTGCAATATCAATGTTCTTCTCTGTCTTATGCCTGTTCTGCAATAGAGTCGCAAGTCGTTAGCCGTAAGAAATTGACCAATCACAGTTAAGTGTAAGAAGAATAATCGACTATAATTAATTAATTTCTTATGGCTTACCGCTTACGACTCTATTATAGAACAGATCTTAAAGGTTCTCTACATAGAAGTCATAGACGGTCGTGGAGTCTTAAGTCGGAAACCAACCAATCACAATCAAATATAAAGAGAATACTCGATTAGAATTGGTCAGTTTCCTATGGCTTAAGACTCTACGACCGTCTACGACTTCTATGTAAAGGACCCTTTACTCTACATCACGACTACGACAATTACATCTTGTTACATCTCATTTTCTAGCATAACCCTAACGTTTCCGAACGCAGCTAGTAGGTCTGTTCGCGTTGTTTCAAGGATTATTATCAAGAATTTTTTTTTGGCATCTCAAATACAAAATACATCGAATGATCTTCTTGAAATACAAAATACAAAATACATTTTATATTGTATTTGAAATACAATATTTGAAATACAAATTGTATTTCAAATATCGTATTTCAAATACAAGTATTTGAAATGTACCCAGCCCTGGAAACACACATTGAACGAGACGCAGGTAAACAGCTTGCTGTGTTCCGTCGGGCCGTAGGGTATCGTAGCCGTCACCGATCGATCATTCCCCGCCCGTCATTTTTCCACGGTGAGCTAATTTCCTACTTCCTAAAGAGCTTATACCGAAGTGAGTTATGAGATATTTTTACCTCGAAGGATCGGTCTCCCGTCCTACGCAGGAAGTTCTATTTGCCTCGCCGTTACACGAAAATACTCGGTCAACCCTCGGACGCGCCCCCGCGACCACGATCGAACGATTTTCTTGGGCAATTTCCTGCCGTAGGGAAGATTATGTCAACTATATCCGTAGAACTTCGTGAACCTTGCACGTCAGTCTTGATGTGGTCGGTACGTCGACACGGTTAAATTGATAATAATCAATGATATCCGGCCAATACATACAGTGAGTAAAAAGTATTCGTATACAGAGAAAATTTTTTTTAAAAAACTTTATTTTTAAAAAGTAAATATTATTCAACGAGAAATGAATCAGCGAATCAATATTGATATGATGATTTCAACATCAATTTGATGTCGATTCGACGTTTAATTGACGATCATTTCTTGCTGGGTAATCAACAATTTATTCATAAAGAGTAAAATAGACTCTATGTTTCTTAAAATTATATATATCAAAAAGATGTGTATTAATTATAGAATATACGAGATCTGATAAAAAAATAAGCGGATTTTTGTAATTACTCGGCAACGTGCGGTTTGCAGCACTACAATCGTTATAATCTTCCGAATAATTGGCTTTTTTAAAATTGTTTACATCTTGTTTAGTTTCATCAGAGTTATTGCTATTTGAGTGCAACGTGTTTCAGTGTTCGTGGCGATTTTCGCCTCGAAATGAATTTTTGCAATTTTTGCCTTAAGGTCAAACAATCAACCATCAGTACTATGTAACAATTATTCATACAGTCGAGAAATTTAGTTTCTAAAATCAGGAATACATACGAAGCTCGTTTGTTTCTGTTAGAACAAAATATATTCATCGTATAAAATTGCTAATTAATGTTTATTTTCTGCAAATAATACTTTTTTTTGCACTATATAACATACCTATATACATATAAATTTAACATTTCATGCATTCCAAACAATTCACTCAAATTTATGTGTAATAGGCTTTCTACAATAAGAAGCCATTACCTAATCTTTAAATCTAAATTAATCAATCAAATCGATTATTCTTTTCACATTCAATTGTAATTGGTCGATTTCTTATGATTTATATTGTTTATAATATAGAGATATAAAAATATATATGTATATAGAGATCGAAAAAATCTAAGTATCAATTTAACAGAAACTATTTAAATAACATAACCACACATTATGTTAAATTAATACTTAAATATATTAAAAAAGTCAACACAAAAGTTTAACAAGAACTTTAATCGGCCGTTCCCAACACAAATAAATACGAAATGTGTTCTACTGTTGTATATATATATTGTATGTGTATCTTTAGCTTTGAATGTTTATTGAAACAAAATAAGCCTAGAATTTATTCAAACTGATTATCCACTTATTAAATATCCATAAAAGATAATGATACTTGATCTCTATATGTTACATATTATAAGCGCAAGGATTATGTTTCAATTTAATCGCTCTATGTAGATTTCAGCGCAACGTAATTATCGCTTATGCAAATATT